ATTAATTCTTTAAATAATTTTCATTATGATAATAATATCATCGAGAAAGTTTGTTTTTCTAATTGTAATGTATTATTGTACATATATAAAACTCTTGATTGATCTCCATTATATGTTTAAATTTTAAGTTTTTTTTTTAAAATACTTTGTAAACCTGAACTTATTCTATTTATAGTAGAACATAAAAATGAATTAGATAAATAATTCTAGACTAGATAACAGACTTAATTATATTCCAGGATAATAGTACTAATTATGAATATAATGGAAAGAAGAATCTCATAAAAAAAGATCAAAAGAAAAACTAACTCAAAACGATTTCAAGGATTTAGAAAGGAATTTTAAGAATTGTAAAAGTCTAGAAATAATGTTGACATCAGTCTTTAAAGATTTTTTAGCTCAAAACCCTGAAAATTAGGCATATTTTGCCATAAATATACTAATTAAATTTTCAATTTTTCGAAAAAATTAATTAATTAATTAATGGAAATCTTCTATTATGAAGAGAAGTCTATTTAATTAGAATATCACAAATAAAGAAAGAATAAATAAGCTATTTTACTTTGTCAGTGAAAGATATCTTTTTTTCAATATACTCCTTCATCTATTATTTTCGCATCTTACGTAAAACTTTTTTTCTCAATTGAAATTCCATCAGCGAAATCCAATAATATTATTTTTATCGACATGAAAAAATTTTGGCAATCTTCTGTTTGTTAATATTATTTCTTTGAAATTGTATTATCCACATCAATTTCATGCAAAACGATGTTTTTTACAGAATCAACCGTCGTGTCTTTTAGAATGAATTTTCTGTCGTGTTACAATAGAAAAATAAATTTTGAAGTTATCGTGACCCAAATCTTTCGAAAAAGAACAAGAATTAATATAGCCAAATCAAGAAATATATTTTTCGGATAAATAAAATCAATATTCAAAAGCAATAATTTATTAGAATATTTTCATCAATATTTTTTTTTTCGATAGATTAAATTCAATTTTAAGTGTATTTTTTTCTTTCTTTAGAAAACTAAGATTTTCGAATGATTATTCGATTAATTTATTAATTTTAAATATTATTTCTAATTTGAATCATTAAAAAATTAATTCTTTGTTATATTTGATATGAGAAAAACGATCTATTCTTGATATTATTTTGACAAAAGATGTAGCCTCTCATCAATACTCAAGTTGATATTGACATAGGTGCTTTTTCTTCAAGTCACTTTCTCTATTGAATGAATTTGATTGACCACTTGTCAATTCCATTTAGTGTCTCAACAAGATTCAAATTTGAAATTGATCTTACTTTTCAAAGTTTTTTATGTATTTATATATATATGACACTTTCTTTTATATCCTTAAGCAATAATGATCAACAATAACATTGATCGGGTATAATCAAAGAGAAATGCATTACATTTATGAGACTGACGACTGTTATGAATATGAAAAAGAAAAAAGAGTCGACAAGAGGAGGAGCATGGATGGGAGGTCAATTAGGAAAGAATAACATTGACACATAGGAGGTCTTGCTGATTAGCCTTTTGATCATATATTTTTTTTAGGAACATAAAAAAAAAGAGCAGGTGGCGTCAGTAACATTGACTGTGCAGCAGGTGAAGAAGCGTGTCGTTGATCTATCTATATATCTTCAATCTAATGGACAAAATGAGAGTCGATTAATCGAACATGCTGTGACACACCAATCAAAGCGATGAAGATCCTCCTCCTTTAAAAGCATCGTTAACTCAAATAGAGATAGACGAACGACAACTGTGTTTTACCCTTTTCTTTTTTTTTTTTTTTATTGTCAATGCATATAGAACAAGCGAGAGTCAATAATCGATTTATTATTATCATTATTGACTTTGATTGTGTCATCTAATACAAAGTCAACCTTTTTTTCTTTTGTCCTATTGACCAAATACGATACCAACAGAGAAAAAAGAAAAAGAAGAACTTCAGTCATTGGTAAAAATTTCCCATTGGATTATGTTGTATTACAACATAGTGCTTAATCGATTAGTGAATTAAGTTCAATGACTTGTTCGTTTTTATTTATTTTTTCATGTTCTTTGTTGTATTTGATTTCTCTAAAGGCGTTATGAATTTGTAATTGACACTTTTGTGTCTATTCCCTAAATGAGAGAATTGACAAGGTGTACGAAACTATGTTTGTGATCATACAGATCAAACAACAAGGTATGCATTTTCTCAAGTGTTCTCTCTCTCTCTCTTTCTTTTATTCAATCAGATGTATATGTATGCAAACGCAAACGACTTTTTGATGATCCATCTATAGTTCTTTGTCGTATATACAAAACGATGACAAACCTTATCCTACTCATATTTTTAATTGTGTATTATATACAATATGAGAATCAATCACTATATCGTTATTGATGGGACTATCGCCATCATATTAAATGAAAAGAATAGCGAATAAAACATTCAAGGTGTACTAATCGAGACAATATAGTATAAATATATATAATCTGTCAAAAGAAATGAATGAATAAATACATTCAATGCATTTTATTTTTCTTATATAATGTCGAAATCATGATTTATCTCATACTATAAAAATGTTAATATCCATCTTAGCAAAAAAAAAAAAACCTATGATTTTACTTGTTTAATCAATATTTTATATGTACAAAGAAAAAGAAAGAAAGAAATCCATACAAAGCAACAACACAAAAAAAAAAAGAAATCCAAAACTTTACAAAACAAAAGAGAAAAAGAAAAGAGAGCCTCGCCATTTTACTGTAAAATGTTTATATATAATTTTAAAGTTTACCTACCGATGTAGGTGAATAATAAGATGAAAAAATAGATGTTGGATATGACGTTTTCATTGATGATAATGATGTATGTGCTGTACAAAGATGTTCAAGTAAACTCATATGATTTGCAAAACGTTTTCCACAAAATCCATCTGGAACATTTGATTCCATCCAATTACAAACAAATGCTGGTGGTGATGGATTTAATGGTGCTAAAATCGAATCCATAAAATAAGGAGATCGTTGAGATGATGATGGAGATGAGGATGGAGTAAAAGCTGAATTTGATGAATGTCCAAATGATGTAGTTGAAAAGAATGGTGATGAAGTAAAAGTTTTACTTAAATGATGAAGAAGAAGAGAATCGAACATAAATGGTGATGGAGGATAATAAAATGATTGTTGATTAGTTGAAAGTAATGATGATGGAATTGTTGGTTGAGAAAATGCCATCTTTTTTGATGCTGGTGGTGATATTGAAGATGTTGATGGTGCAGTACGTTTTAAAGATTTTTTTACTTCATTTGGTGAATTTGATTTTCGTTGTTTTGATGTTATTGAAAGTGTTGTTGTTGATGATGATGATGATGATGACGATAATTCTTTACCAATATTATTACATGCTTGAGCCATTAATACTAATGGATTTTCTTTTTTTGGTGAATATTGATCAATCTATATGACAAAATTTTTTGAAAATAAATTAAAAATAACACCAAAAAAAAAAATAATTTTTACTGTTGGATTGATATATTCACCATAGAGTTGTTGCTTCTTCATTGACGTTGTCATTGAGTCAAGTATGTAGATACGTTTAAGAGTAAATGCAAATGATGAGTGATTGAAGGTGGAGAAGAATATCATACACAGGCGCGCGTTCGATCGATCATAAATCACTATGTTTCTCTCTATTCGATAGATCATAGAGAAGAGAAAAGAAAAGAAAAGAAAAGAAAAAAAGAAACGATTTATATATAGTCATTGGTTGAGAACGACAGACGTCGATTTTCTTTTTGGCCAATGTCGATTTGGATGATGAATATTGATCGAGCTCGGCTTTTTTTCTTTTTTCTTTTTTTTCCTATTCTTGTTTTGATTGACAAGTGTCTGTTGATGAAATATTTGAAAAAAAAAAATTGTTTTTAATGATTGATTATTTTACTTATCAATTTTCACTCTTTCTTTTTTCTTTTTTCTTTTGATATTAATGGAATCTGATCGATAGTCATTTATTTTGTTTTTTTACCAGTCGTGAGTTCTTTTTTTTTTTTTTGTTTCTTTTTCTTTTTTTTTCGATTGATTTGATCGATTGAGTAAATGTGGGCAGTCTCATCTGTCTTTAGTGAACATATAATGATATCGTTTTCGCATCTCTTTCATCTTTCTCTTATGAATCGATCGACGAAACAAAAAAATCATAAATCTCGAATTAAGTGCCTTTCGTTGTCAGACATCGATCATTCAATGTATTATACATATACAAGAGAGTTCTCGCACTTGTTATTACATGACACAAACATTGCCGACATGGACAAACTTCTTCGATACATTGTCTATTAGAAGAGTCGGCATAAAGAAGAAAAAAAAAATTACTTTGGACGTGCGAGAAAGAACATAATTTGAACAGATCAAAGAGATGAAGTTTGTTCTGTCCAAGATTAATGATACGCGTATTGTGTGTGAATTGACATAAATATACACACGTAGGGAGTCGATCATATCGAAAAAATATTTTATCAGAATTGTATATATATATATATATATAAAGATGAACATCATATCAAACACACCATGACACTAAGTGCTACTAAACAGAATGATCAATGATAAAACATCAAAAGAAAATTGACTCAGATTTATTTTGTTTTATATATGTATATCGATTAATTACATCATATATCATATTGTTCAAAGAGAATCAAAACATAATGGAATATCATTCATCATAATCAAATATATTTATGTTAGATTAAGACAAAAAAAAAACAAAATCAGTCACTGAATTATTGCAGGTGACAATTCGTCAATAGATACAAAATCTGAAAACTTTTCAAAATCATTTTTATATGACTTTTTGTGATACATATTGTTACTGAATTCTCATATTCATCATAATGTGAGTAGTGTTTTTATTAAGAAAAAACTAAATTTAAACTGAAAAGATAGATGATGACGAGATATTTCGATACAAAATGTATTGCTTGACTAATTGACATATGTAAAATGATATGCAACGAGCATAACTATGACTGTAGACTATGTATATCGTGTAGAAGTATCAACAAGCTATATTTCCTTTTCAAATACGATATCTTTCTTATCGATTTTTATTTTTAATCGTCAAAATTGATTAGAAAATTTTCTTTCGTGATAGAAGATGATTAATGAATAAACTTCATTTCATCTATAGAAATTTTTGTCTTGAAACAAAAAAAAAAAACATTTGTATTTAAAATTTATGAAACAAAATTTTCCTCCATATTTATCTAACTGCTAACCTAAGTACAAGAATATACGTAGTAATACATCGATTATTATCATTCGATTCTTCTTCATATTATACTTACTCTATGTACAACGACCTTGACACTTTATATCTATGGAACTTTTCCAGAAGTCATTCTGAAAATGAAAATCGTCAAAGTAAAAATTCTGTTTTGTTTATTTTCCTGGAATTTTTTTTTTGTTGAACTATTTAGAGTGAGATACCATAAATGCAGAATGCTAAGCTTAATCGAACGGTAGAAAACTTTAGTGAATGGCTATTCGTAATGAATCAAACTGTAAAGTTTTCTAGATTAATATTGTACCGAAATACTAATCTGAATTACTCTACTGACGACTTTTTCGGTACTGAAGAAATATGAATAATACGTAAGTTTATTTTATCGTTCATAATAAATACAAAAAATTGTCTTTTAAAATTAGTTATCGATAGTTTGAATTGTTTATTATAATCAAACAAATGAATATTTAATCCTTACTAAGTACTTCTAATGACAATTATGCACGGCGGAAGCAAAATGTACAGAACATATGCTACTCCCGAAATACGCGCTGCTTTACACTTGCTTCAAAAAAAAAACAGAATGTATGAAGTACACTTTCCTTCTAATATTGTGAAAACTATCTTCGATTTAAAAAATATGTTTGAATTAGAGTAAACAGTTTTTGATCACCAAATTTATTATAAATGAAAATGAGTGTGGATGTTGCTGAGGTCTTCTCTTCAGCCATGCTCACTTACACGAACATTCGCATCTTGTTCCTATCATTTTCAGTTATGTATCCCTTTAGATTTTGAAGCGAGCAACTCGAATCTCCTTGGTTCTTTTTTCACTATTTATCGGAGACATTTCAGTATGTTGCTCCTGTCTTCATTATATATCATATGAAGAAAAGGAAAAAAACAATTATGCGAGTAAACATTTATAATAATACTAACCTGTCTTTCTCTGTCAACATCGATTGTAAGAATAACTACTATAACAAATATCGGTAATATTGATGAGCATCATTGAGACAAAAAATATCGACTATTTGTTTGATAGAAAATATAGTAACAGCACAAAAAGATCGCTATGATGCAACTCTGCAAACATATGATATGATCGTAAACTGACTATGCTATAATCATGATGCAGATAATAAAAAAAAACAATAGACTGTTGATGCACACGATATTAACATTTGTTAGAATGAAGTACAATTAATTACAAAAATATTCATCGGATTTTTTAAAATTTTTGAAATAATCTTACCATCCGATGTAGTTGATATTATTAACATGCACTCATTTTTATATAAATTAGTAGTAGGATAGATTACATATTCTGTAAATTCATGTAAATGAAAAATTCAGATAGAGGTCACAAATTTTTTCGAAAGATATTCAAATGAAGTAATAAAAACTCTTGCCGAGATTTTAACGGAGAATAATCAATTGATAAAAACTTTTCAAAAATGTAAATCATAATAAAATTCAATATGTATGATAATGTTGTCCATTGCTTTCTATGGCCAATTGTAGTTGATAAGGTATTTCGTCTATCATTTTTGCATGTTTTTTCTTTCGAAAATCTGTCGAAACTGGACAGGTAGAAGGAGGTCACACATTTCTGGATGTTCAGACATTTACTATCAATATTTTCCTTTTTTCACACAACTTTTCGCGAAGTTTCGAAGCTTAGCTCATTTTGAAGCGCATTTTTAAAGGGTGTAGGTTTCTTATGAACAATAGCCAGATTCACACCCACACTCTCTTCTAGACTACTTACTTCCAATGCAAAGTTGAAAAACTAAATCAACTATTTTTAATAATTAAGATGAATTTTATCATTCAATTACGACGAAGTGGTCGGTCATCAGAATATTCGTATCTCAGGAGTAGTAATTTTTTCTCGCCTTGTAAATCAATTCAATATTTGTAAATATTTTCGAAGAATAATATTATCAATCAATTTAATAAAAAACAAATAGTTAGAAGTTCTTTTTTTTTTTAATAAATTTCCTTGTGATTATTTCTACAAGGAGAATGTAATCATAATATGCTCAATAGGACACAAGGTCATCGATCTGAAATAGTTGTTCAAATGTAGTTACCAATTGTATGTCTTTGTTAAAAACACTGGAATTTTTATTGAGAATGACTTTATGTGGTTTTAGTTCAAGTTTATGAATGTAAAATAAAAAATGTTTTCTAGTAAAGAAAAACAACAAGAACAATTTAACATAGATAAAAGTACAATCACTGGAATGTTTTCCAAAAAAAAACCAATGCCATGGTAAGATGATACTTAGGAGCAATTGTTTTGGATTCTTTCAATCGAGTTCTATGATTCGTACAAACGATTA